CCGACATGATGCTATGACTTGTCTAGTTTAATTTTGCCTTAAACTGTAAATGCCTTATTGTTAATCGATTTCCTTAAGGAAATAGGGCTTCTTCTCACTAGATTCTTGCCCTACTCTTTACAGGGGCCTTATTTCCCCATGGTTGTAGGCAGTTAAGGACCAGTATGTTTTACCAGTATATTACTGTCATTGTTGATGGTGGTTGCAATCTGCGATTATTCGAAGACACGACTGAATAACTGACAATGTGAACAGAGATTTTGGAGGCGCATTACCTTAGCATCAATAGCAGTGTCATCCACAACTCGATGGCTTTGTTTGGGTGGCTTTTATTCAGTTATTGCAATCATTCTCATGGTAACGTCGTTCGCTGATAACTTGAGCTGTATGATGACATACGTGAATCCGAACGGATTGTGTTATAACCCTTTCTCGCTAAAGTTTCAGGGAGTTCCTTGAGATCCGTTGTTGTCACGTTTTGTCTCCTTCTGACTTTTTATCGCCTACCATTCAGCGTTTACCCTGGTTACCTCTGGTTTCGTAAGAAGAGTGCCTGAATCTTTGGGCTGAACACTTTCGAGAACAGTTCGAATTTCCTCCTGTAATTACTCAGCCGGATTTTCAGCCGGTAACACAGCCCCGGACAATAAACGTGAAATCCCCGGTGGCCTCGAAAATAAGCGAGTGCCTTTTTTCAAGAGTTACTGAGATGCTGGTCCTGACGAACTCCAAACCCGATCTATCGAAAGATGGAGGTGAAATTCTGAGTCGGTGCTTGTCTAACTTATTAGCCTCTACCTAGGAAGGAAGAGGCCGTCCCAACTTATTGGGGTGAGTTGAAAATTTAGCCCGTTTTCAAAAAAAGTGCTCGCAGTGAATGTGTGAGTCACAGAGGAATCAGCCCAATCCCCGTTGTAACTAGACTCTTTGTGCTGATTATTCTACGTCGTCTTATAATGACGCGTGAAGAGTCCTCCTAACAAAGAGGAGACTTGAGAACTTCGGGCAGGATTTCGGCCGAAAGTGGGTATGCAGACCACATCTTCACGCTCCTTCAGGTGTTAAAGTAACGTCATACGCGTAGGTGCTCTACAAGTTTGGTGTTCCTAACTTCAAGAGTGCCTTGAGTCCTGTCGACCGGTTAGTAGTTTTCAACACACGCAGCAGGGTAGCCGCAGAAGTTTGTAAACATCATACATTGTTTGTATTCACACAGTGGGCGTGGGAACACTTCAGGGGGGTTTCCACATGCATTGGTGTCCGACAAGAGTGTCCACTGTCTCCTTTTTTGTTTTCGTCAACAATGAGGTAATGAGACGAACATTGGATCGTTTTCAAAATCCCGTTGTTCACATCGAGAAACGTGTCGACCTGGAATGTGCAGACCACATTGTTCTGATTTTCGAAAAGGTGCAGGAAGCACAAGCAATACTAGAAGTGCTGACCGTGGTCATCTAGTCCCTCGACATGTGCTTCGCGTCTACAATGTGGAAAATCGTGCTGCAGGACGTGCGGTCTTTGAAAATGCTTCGGAGAATTCAAGGAGTAAGACTCGAGGTTCTGGAACATTATATACCTCTTGGAATTTGCATTAGTTGTAACGGTAGTGCGACAGACGAAGTTAACATACGAACGTGGAAGTTCAGAATTGTTTCTCCCAATTCGTGCCACTTGTGGCGTGAAAAAGGTTTCCCACAGTGCCTCAAAGGGCGCGTGTATCAGGCTTACAGTTCGGGCTGTATTGCTGTGTGAGTGAGACTTGGCCACTTCGGGCGGAGTGTCCGAAACATCTTTCGATCTTTGAATATCCAGGTCTCAGAACTATAGCTGGATTCGGCTGGAATCAGTGAACAGGAGAAGAGTTTTTGTGAGAGGATACTTCCCTTAAAAATGCAAGCTAAGATGTCTGAGCCATGTGCTAAGCGTACCAAGTTGCCGCCTTTTGAGACTATCATTGTTTTTTGTGCCTGATTCGGATTTGTGGCTACCTAGATGTGGACAGAATTTCACTTGCTAGGAAGAAATGAATACCAAAAAAGTTTGGGTGCCATTGGTGGATGGGATCTATGTGACCCTCTGTGGTTGTCTGGAGACACTGAAAGATGTGCCGGCTAAACAATGTCACTGGTGTTCATATCGTCAATTTCTTTCCGGATTATCTGACAAGATGCTGGAGATGTGGGCACCTTGATTGTTTGTGGGGTGTCATCCTTTGGCCCCATTCTCTGTCCCATTTGTCCGTTTTTTCAATTATAGGCTTTGTTGAAGTAAGTTGACAAGGTTGTACGGCAGTGAAGCGCCAGTTTTCTCATCTGACGATGTCAATGATGATTGTGAGTTGCCTGCTTCGAACGGTTGTCTGATGGATGGACTCCGCCCAGCTGATACCTCGCGACGCGAGCACTCTTCTTTATCTAACTTACGCGAATTTAAGCTGTTGGCTCAATGTCTATCAAACCCGGACTCCTCGACTCTGGTAATACACACGATCCTCCTTGTTGTGTCTTGATGTACGATCCTCCTTGTCTTGATGTACGGTAGTGCAACTCTGTGTCGGTCCCTTGGCTTCCTGCTCCGCCCACTATTGTATAGCAAAAGGCACGGCACGGTTACACAGCCCTTTATGGAGACAAAGGAAAATCAGTACAACTGTTTATATATAGGGTAGTCACAGAGTGTTCCACAAGGTCGTGCCAGAATGTCCGTGAGGGGGCGAGAACCGTCGAGTCAGGGTGCTTGACTCGGATTGGCTGGCATTCTGACCAATCAGGGCATGCCTACCTCTGGCCCGTGTCCTGCACGTGACACATGCATCCAACTGATGTGATGTTCGGTTATTAGGGACGGCTGGCCCCCGACCAAATCCCCCTTGAGAGGGCTGTCCA